ACAACCCGTCCCGCCCCCAAACCAGAATTTTTATTGCAGATTCGGGGTCCTCTCGCCGAGCACAGAAGGAACCCGCTTTCGAAAAAAAATAAAAAAAATTCTGGGCTGTTTTTTTGCCCGCCCGGTTTGCCCGGGCGGCGTCTGTACTCAGATTGGCATGCAATTCGATCCGGATGACTGCGTTTGGGTCTGCCAGACTCTGCCTTAATGCTCACTGCAATCACCCTTCATGTTTTGCCACGTTCTAGTCCTAGGAGTTTGGAAGGTGGGTCATAACGGGTTTTTAGATCAATCTGTTTGTGGGATGTGACAGGTCAGATACGAATGGGAAAACCCAGAAAACAAGAAAATATGGTGACTGTCAGGCAGCTGCATGTCAGGAAGACACTGCATGTGAGGAATCTCAAAGTGTGCATAAGAAAGCATGAAAAAAGAAGAGAAAAAGGAGTCTCAGAAGGTGCAGCCTGTCGAGGGTCAACCTTCTGATTTGTTGGTGAACGTCCTCCGGAAGTTGTTCAGCGGCACTATGTTCTGTGGAGTTGTTCTTAGCGAGTGCTCAAAACGTGGACGTATGCTGGCCTTAGAACCACCAGTACCTCAGGCCTACCAGGTCACCGTGATTCTGAGAGGGAGAGAGAGAGGGGGAGGGAGAGAGAGAGAGAGAGCTAAAATATATGTTGGGGGCAGCAGCTGGTTACCCAAAAAAATGTGTTTCCAGCTTTCCACAGAGGCTTGCTAGAGGAAAAAGAAAATGTGAGAGGACAAGTGAGTGATGCGAGAAAGAAAGCACTGGGAAGGAATTCGGTACTGCAAGCGAGGGTCTGGCATTGGTACCTCTTCTTATGTCTTTTTGCAAAGCTCAGACAAAAGGATGGTACCATTCCATGTCTCTTCGTTTGCTGATGGCTGATGTGCTGTATTTGAAGACTCCAGAGCATCTGCTCAATCATTGCAAAGCGAAGGATGTACGAGCACCCTCCCTCGGGACATCCATTAAAATTGGAACGATACAGAGAAGATTAGCATGGAGAAAAAAGGAGCACCCTCGTGATGCGTGAATACTTGGATTTGGAATGGCTGTGGGCCAACTGATGTCTGTCTTGTACAGTGGTCGAACTTCAGTAGGCCTGTTGGATCTGTGCTGCATCTCAGTTGTCTTTTTTTTCCCTTCTTTTTTCCTTTCTTATTTACTCATATACCTCTCTACGTAACCTCTTATCATTGTCCAGTTTCTTCGAGTATGTATTGTTCCAGCCTATCTATGCACACGAGGTGGGTGGCCCTAGTAGTTATGGGCTGGCATTGGCCTCTTCCTGTGGCCATGCACTGCAGCTTCGTCCTAGCTCTGGGCAATGGATGGGAGGAAGTGTTAACACTCCCACACCCTATCAGGGGGGGCAAGGCGACTAACTCAGCTGGTGAACCTGTAGCGAGCCGCAGGAGGCTGTGGGGGCTCGAATGAAGAGCGTGGGGAATCGAACACAAAGCCTCCTGAATGCCACTTTCGTGCTCTACCAGCTGAGCTAGGCCGCCGGCCCTCTCAGTTGTATTTTGTTCTGTATGCAGCATGCTCTCTGATGAACACAGCAAAGCGCGGAGTGGGCTTTGCTGACATTTGTACTCGAGGAGAGATGATGGGAAAAGCCAAATACAGGGTGGGCATTGCTGATATTCTTAGTCGAGGAAGTATGTCACGTCACTTCCAAGACAAATCAATTCCAGAGTTGATCTTCTTATCAATGTATATAGGATTTGCTGGTCTGTTTCCGGGCCTCTCTATTTTATACATGAGTGCTGCACCTACCTGTATGTTTAGTGGTTGTATGCGCTAGTGCAGTCAGCAATACTATCACACAGGACATAGCTGTGTTTGTTTCATGTTGCCTTGTGCTAATGTAGTGAGCAAGATTACTCAGATGAGGTAGCCTCTGTGCTTGTTTCATGTTGGCTTCTCAAAATTAATTTACTGGCAGTTCCCGTTCCGAGGACCGGAGGGTGAAAGAGTGGATTGTGGGCAATCGTTGTGGTCCTGCGATTGATTAGCTTTCAATGAGGAATCATGTTGTGTCTTCTTGCTGGTAGTTCTCAGAAATTATGTGCAACCATGAAATGCCCGAATGGAAATGTGTCTAACAGATGCACTCGCAATGAATCTTCTATTATCTGCTTTACGCAGACCCTGGTGCTCAACTACTGCTGGCTGCTGCAGTCGGTGACATTAGACCTTCCTCGCCTGCAATCAATCAGCCTTAAAAGCTGCCGCAAGTAAGAATGTCGATCCCTCAAATGATCTTCAGATTTTTTGGGAGTGTCAATCCATCTAAACCGCCTCTGTATTGTGAAATGAAAACAGAAAAATAAGTCCTTGCACCAATTGACATCCTTGGTTTGCTATTACATTTGTGTTATTTATAAAAGTTGTCATGTATGTTATCTATGAGAATCCCCATTTGTGTAACATTGAAAAATCACCATGTGCTTGCTGAACAAGGAACTCAGTCATGTGGTGCAGGTGTGAGAACATCTGGCATGTCACTCAGTCTCTGCTTCTGTTTACAACATTCAGTAGGTTGGGTTCTTTCAAGTCTTTGTCTTTCTTGGATTGTTGCTGAGGGCAGGATGAAGTAGGGTTGTTCTCAAAGCTGTTTAATTCCTTTGGAGGACGTATGGGTATTGTGAGATGCTAGATTTTGAGGCCCCAAAACTTGGGTTTTGAGGATTGCTGAGTAGTCTCTGCTTGCACTGCTGCTCTTTTTTTTGTTTTTTTTTTTGGCTTCGCAATGGGCAATTGTATGTACCACTGATAGAACTGCCATCTCCCAGAGCTCGCGATTCTGAGCGTTTCTCCAAACAACATGTGGTTGCTCTAGTGTGTTGTATTGATAAAGTAGGAATCATTCATAACTGCAATAGGTTTGTGGCATTGCAAGTGTTTTATATGGATTTCAAGGGACTGGCAAGACTGGGAGGTGGATGCATTCTGCATTATGAATGTAGTCTGCTTTCAAAGCTTTGCTCCCAAAACTTTGCCCGGACGGGGATGTGAAAGTTTGATGTATTTGTGATTGTGTGGCTTTGTACCAAAAACCCTCCCCATCATGGCAAGAAGGAAATTTGAACCACGGCATGCAGTAGATTGCCCTGTCTCTGCTTGTGAAACTCCTAGTATCCAGTGTCATTGTTTGTCCCATACCGGTACAGTTGTGCGCGTGTAACTCGTTGATGCATATGCGTTGGAACAATTTTTCTGTCAGAGATGATGGGTTACGGCGATGGACCGTAGGTTAATGTTGGAAAACTTCCCTGTTCTCTCCTGTGTTTGTGTGTCGCACCAGGCTGATGGAAGTTGCACTGCGAAGCCCAGCGTTGAAGTCATTGGATGTCACACAGTGCCATGCGCTTCATCGCATCGACGTCACCTCAAAGACTGTTGAGGTACAGAAGTTGCCCTCCGATAATGTACATTTCAAAATACTCTGGCGCACTGGGAATAGTTTTGTGATGGGCCAGATTTTCAGTTAATGGACACCCCTTGATAGGTCGTCGTTCCTGTGTATGGGGGCATTCACAAGTAGAGGGATAATTGTGAATGCCTCTGTCCTCGGCTACCCCTTGTTTTTGGATTATATCAAGAGCTGCGCTGTGAAATTCCTGTTCCTTGTTGATGAAATTAACCAGTTACGCCCAGACCCAGGTTTGGGACGGTGGCAGGATGCATCCAAACGTCGGGGTATCCGGACACTCTCCAGACCTCCTGGACATCCACACCCTGAAATGTCCTGATGGGCTGGAAGGTGTCTACGTTGTTTGAATATGGGAAAGATACACTCTTTTTGTCTTTTCCTTTAATTTGGTCCATTTCTCAATTTATGCATTTCATCCTTGTGGTGGGTTTCAATTTAACCGGATGTGCTGAAGGACAAAATATACGCTTTTTACCTGCACTGTCCGAGAACTCTTCTTTCCAGAGTCTCAGTTTTCACATTACATATCACTGTGGAAAGTCACATGTATGCATCTGAAGTGTGATATCTGCAGCGCCTGCCGTGAAACATTGCGTGCTAACGTTTACCTTAGACTCGGCTCTACCATTAAGCGATTTTTGCCATCTCTCCACTTTAAACCGTGGTGTGCGTGCCGTGAAACATTGAGGGCTATTAGGCAATGTACTCTCAAATTTCAAACCATTATCCCTACACTATTAAAATCGCTAACGTGACAAATCTGAATCCGGGCCGTCGTCGGTCCTACCGGCCCACCACTCCTCCGTGCTCCACTGTTCCTCCTCCGCGTGCACTGCAGTCTCTGCCACTCTCTGCTCCTCTGTGTGTGTGTGTGTGTGAGAGAGAGAGAGAGAGAGAGAGAGAGAGAGAGACAGAGAAACGGCGTGCGCACGTGGGCGCGCACCAGAGAGAGAGAGAGAGAACCCAAACTATCTAACTACCCTGCTCCCCAAAATGACGACGACGACGGCGACGGCGATCAAGTGTAGTATATGTTCCGATCAGTTTACGGCGCGTGGAAGTGTGCGCGCGCGCACACACACTCACACAGACAAACGCACAGAGAGAGAGAGAGAGAGAGAGCCCAAAGCGGAAGTGTGCGCGCGTGCACACACACACTCACACAGACACACGCACACACACAGAGAGAGAGAGAGAGAGAGAGAGAGAGAGAGAGAGAGAGAGAGAGAGCCCAAACTATCTAACGATCAAGTGCAGTATCTGTTCCGATCCATTTGAAAAACGGCGCGCGTATGTGCGCCCACACAAGAGAGAGAGAGAGACCAACCTAACTAACTATCCTGCCCCCCAAAACAACGATGGCGACGACGATCACACACACAGAGAGAGAGAGAGAGAGAGAGAGAGAGAGAGAGAGAGCCCAACCTACTTGCTCCATTGGCGTGCATATATCGAAGTAGCCAGCCTCCTTGAACATCTCTCATAATATGTTCTACACTGTAGAAAGCTAAATCTACATGAGGCGTATAATGCATTGCTACCCTGCCCCCCAAAACGACGATGACGAGGACGATCAATTGAACCGTGGACCATCGGGAGTGTGCGCGCGCAGCAGAACGACACAGAGAGAGAGAGAGAGAGAGAGAGAGAGAGAGAGAGAGAGAGAGAGAGCCCAAATAACTAACTACCCTGGGCCCCCAAAACGACGACAACGACGACGATCGATTGAACCGTGGACCATCGGGAGTTCGCGCGCGCAGCAGAACGACACACAGACAGACAGACACACAGAGAGAGAGAGAGAGAGAGAGAGAGAGAGAGAGAGAGAGAGAGAGAGAGTGCCCAACCTAACTAACTACCCTGCCCCCCAAGACGACGAGGATCAACTGTAATATCTGTTTGGGAGTCCTTTCAAAGAAAAAAAAAATTACAGCGCGCGGAAGTGCGCGCGCACACACACACACACACAGATATATATATAAACAGTTTGTCACAGCCCCTCGTTTGTTGTCCTCTTCTCTCTCTCTGCCTACGGTTTACCGGGCAGTTCTATTTGTGACGATATATATATATATATATACATACGGAGAGAGAGAGAGAGAGAGAGAGAGAGAGAGAGAGAGAGACCCCAAACTAACTAACTACCCTGCCACCCAAAACGATGACATCTAACGATCAAGTGCAGTATCTGTTCCGATCCGTCTGAAAAACGGCGCGCGTATGTGCGCTCGCACAAGAGAGAGAGAGAGAGAGACCAACCTAACTAACTATCCTGCCCCCCAATACGACGACGACGACGACGATCACACAGAGAGAGAGAGAGAGAGAGAGAGAGAGAGAGAGAGAGAGCCCAACCGAGTTAACTACCCTGCTCCACAAAACGACGATGACGAGGACGATCAATTGAACCATGGACCATCGGGAGTGTGCGCGCGCAGCAGAACGACACAGAGAGAGAGAGAGAGAGAGAGAGAGAGAGAGAGAGAGAGAGAGAGAGCCCAAAATAACTAACTACCCTGGGCCCCCAAAACGACGACGACGATCGATTGAACTGTGGACCATTGGGAGTTCGCGCGCGCAGCAGAACGACACACAGCAGAACGACACACACAGACAGACAGACACACACACACACACACACAGAGAGAGAGAGAGAGAGCCCAACATAACGAACTACCCTGCCCCCCAAGACGACGACGATCAACTGTAATATCTGTTTGGGAGTCCTTTCAAAGAAAAAAAAAATTACAGCGCGCGGAAGTGCGCGCGCACACACACACACACACACACACATATATATATATATACATACAGAGAGAGAGAGAGAGAGAGAGAGAGAGAGAGAGAGAGAGAGAGAGAGAGACCCCAAACTAACTAACTACCCTGCCACCCAAAACGATGACGACGATGACCATCAAGTGTCCCCCCCCCCCCAAAACGACGACGACGATGACGATCAGGTGTAGTATCTGTTCTGATCACTTCGATATCTGACCCGTGGATCATTGGGAGATTTTTTATATTAAAAAAAACGGAAAAAGGAGCGACACAGAGATAGAGATAGAGATAGATATATATATATATATATATAGAGAGAGAGAGAGAGAGAGAGGGAGAGAGAGAGAGAGAGACCCTGAACTAACTACCCCACGATGACGATCAAGTGTAGTATCTGTTGCGATCAGTTTGATATCTGACCCGCAAACCATCGGGAGTTCTTCAAAAAAAAAAAAAAAAAAGGAAAAACGGCGCGTGCACCACTGAGAGGGATATATACATGATGGGGTGTGAACCGACAGTCTGTAGAGTTTTCCATCTGGTGTGGGTGAGTGATAGTCTACTTTGATTTTGGTTAAGGTGGATTATCACTTACAGTGTAATCAGTGAGGGGATTCTACGGACTGTTGAGGGTTCAGCCTCCTGATGAGTCGGTGAAACTCCGATGAAACAGTTTGTCACAGCCCCTCGTTTGTTGTCCTCTTCTCCATCTCTGCCTACGGTTTACCGGGCAGTTCTATTTGACGATATATACTACGACTTCGCTAGCTTCCTGCTACGGTTTTCTCCGGTCAGGTCGAGCGGCAGTGGTCGGGGCCGTCACTACGCGGCCATGCTGTGCCTCTATTGCCAGCGGCGTGTCTGGAGTGTATTTTTTGGCTGTGACAGACCTTTCTTTGTTTCGTGGGTGTTTTGCTGGCTTGTGATGGGGTGTGAACCGACAGTCTGTAGAGTTTTCCATCTGGTGTGGGTGAGTGATAGTCTACT